TGAGTTGTTTTAAGTAAAAATTCTGTGATTTCCCACCCCCCTGTGCCAAAAAAAAAAAAAAAAAAACCTACTTCGGATTATAAATCAAAGGATTTCATTTATTTATTTTTTTTAAAGTAATAGGTCCATTATGTGCACTTCCCACTTTGCCACATGGAATATTCAAGGACATAAGATTTAATAAAAGAGATTTTTAATGCTTTCATCAAAGACATTCTTAATTGAAACTCGCTTTTTAAATTGTGAGTGCCTAGTGGTTAAGAGGATTCCTGGTGTGGAGCTGTGGGATAATGCACTGGACTACAAGGTTGGTTTGAACCTCAAGGTTGGCAATTCAAATTCACCAGGTGTTCCTTGGTGGTAACCCTATACAGGGCTGCTATGAGTCGGAACCAACTTGATGGCACTTACCAACAACAAGAGGTGCTGATAAGAATGGCACTGTGGATTAAGTGTTGAACTGCATGGTTGATGATATAAACCCACCAGCCACTCCAGGGGAGAAAGATGAGTTAGTCTGATCCTGTAAAGATTTACAGTTTCAAAGACCCCATATAGGGTTGCTATGAGTGGAAACAACTCAATGGCAGTGGTTTTTTTGGTGGTTAAGAATGCAGTGACTCCTAGTACAGTCCAGAGTCACTGTCTTAATTCCTGTTATCTAGCATTGATCTTGCATCATCAGTGCAAATGCCAACACAGTTTGTTTTATAAAAGAGATGAATAACGTCTTATGAAAGCAGTTTTAACGTGGAGACCTGCAATGATTCACAGACCATACTTTATAAACTGTTACTTTAGGGCTTCATTTAAATCTTTTAGGGAAGATTATTGTACAGATTTAAGTGTTAATTACTTAATATTTAAAAATGTTTAATAACAAAATATTTTAAATATACTGTAACCTTTTTCTTCCTTTGAAAATATTTGCCCTCCAGGAATGCATCCTGTCAGGTATAATGTCAGTAAATGGAAAGAAAGTTCTTCACATGGATCGAAACCCTTATTATGGAGGAGAAAGTGCATCTATAACACCACTGGAAGATGTAAGTGTTAATAAAATTATTATGCCCTTTATACTTTTGTGCATTTTACTTGAGATTCCCAAGTTTATTATGTATACATGTGTTTGATTTTGCTTTATCAAAACTAATAGAATATCTTGGCACTAACTTCAGGATCTTTTCATTTGGGGCATAAGAGAATGTAAATGGTCAGATATTTACATAATATCTGGGGCAGCATTATTATTTCTCAAAGTTAATATAGATTCAAAAAGGTAAGTAGAGGATCCCCTTTTGATAAAGATGTAATATGAGTAATATGCCAGTGATTTCCAGATAGTCTTACTTATTCTCTGAGTCACCCAAAGAGAAATTTGCATCCCCATATTTCAGATGACAAATTTGTCCCTGTGGGACTTAAATTGCCAAGATGAATTGTGACCCTAGCTTTTATGACTAAAACATTTTTCATTTTGTTACATTGCCCTATTTCCAAAGGCACACACACACAAAATGTGTTTTATTAAATGTATTTATGTCTCTGTGTGGAATTTGATACGCACTCACTTGCACAGACAAGAGCTCTGTTGTATTTTAAAAGAGATATATAAGTCATTGGTAACTTTTAGAATAATCAGTAATAACAGACTTAATTTTTATACCAAAGTTTAGAATACATTCAAGCGTACAGAAAAGTTGAAAGAATTATACAATGCATTGAAAACCTTACATCTGACTTCAGTTAACATTTTTGTTTCTTGCATTTCTTTGTTGTTGTTGGTTTTGACCCATTAAAAGTTTTAATTTCATCTTTCCACAAACTTTCTAAAGTCCTTGTCTGCTTCATCATACATCTAAGAGTAACATTCTCCTACATAATCATACCACCATTAGCACACTGGTTATTGTTGTTAAAGTGCCATCATAGCAACTCTTAAAATCCAGACCATACTCAGATTTCCCCAATAATTTCAAGAAAATCTTAATGTCTTATATAGTTGTAGAAGTTTTTTGTTGTTGTAAAACAAGATTAACTAAAGGTTCAAGCATTGTAGTTGATGTTTCTCTTTACCCTTAATCTACAAAGATTTTTTTTTCTTTTGAAAAGTCCATGCTGATTTTTAAGGAAGTATTATTGGGTGCTTGATATTGTATCATATCAGGAGGAACATAATGTGTGGTTAATTCATCACTAATGACCCCTTGTTTAAGGTGATGACCACTAGATGCTACATTGTAATTCATCTGTTGTTGTTGTTATTGTTGTTGTTAAATATGGAGGAGTTGGTTCCCACTCATAGTGACCCTGCACAGGCTTTCCAAGTCTGTAAATCTTTACAGGAGCAGAAAGCCTTATCTTTCTCCCGTGGAACAGTTGGTAGTTTCGAACTGCCGACCTTGAGGTTAGCAGCCTGAGTTGTAACTGCTGCGCTATCAGAGTAGAGTGATAAATTTGCAGTTGATAAGTAATTTGTGTCACCATTTATTAGCTAATCTTCAGTAAGATGAGCAAGCTTGCCTTCTTTTTCCTGTAAGGAAACTCAGAGACTCAGGGATTTTTTTTATCTAGTAAGTATATGTCACCTGTGTTCTTTCTGTTCTACTTTAGAAGTAGAATTAATGAGCTTAGATGCATAGTCTCAGCTTTACCAGTTGTTGTTGTTGTTGTTAAGTGCTGTTGAGTCAGTTCCAACTCATAATGACCTTGTATAGAGTTTCCAAGGAGCACTGGTGTGTTTGAACTGCTGAACTATAGTTAGCAATTCAGTGTTTGTTCTGCAGCGCTACATCAGGGCTCTTCTTTTTACCTAGAGTTCAGCAAATACAACCAATCTAGTTGTAGCATAGTGGTTATGAATCAGGCTGCGAAACGCAAGGTCAGCAGTTCGAAACTACCAACTGCTCTGCGGGAGAAAAATGAGGCTTTCTGCTCCCGTAAAGATTTACAGCCTCGGAAACCCTGTTCAGGGTCGCTATGGGTCGGAACCTACTCAACGGCACTTAACAACAACAAAAAGTTGCAGTCAAGTGAATTCTGACTCATGACAACCTTATGTGTTTTAGGGTAGAACTGCATTCCATAGGGTTTTTTTTTTTTTTTTTTTAAGCACCTTTGATCTTTTTGAGGTAGATAGGCAGATACCTATTGGTGGATTCAAACACCCAGCCTTTCCGTTATAGCTCAAGTACTTTATAATTTGTGTCACTCAGGGCTCCTTAGAGTTCTCGTTGTTGTTGTTAAGTGCTGTTGAGTTGGTTCCAACCCATAGCGACCCTGTATAGGGTTTCCGATGAGCAGCTGGTGAGCTTAAACTGCTGACTTGCAGTTCAAAACGACCTTGTGGTTGAATGCTTATCCTACAGTGCCACACCAGGACTCCTGGAACTCTCATTAGCTTATATAAATTAACTGTTGTTGTTGTTATGTGCCATCGAGTCGGTTCCGACCCATAGCGACCCTGTACAGGGTTTCCGAGGGTGTAAATCTTTACGGGAGTAGAAAGCCTCATCTTTCTCCCGCGGAGCAGCTGGTAATTTCGAACCGCTGACCTTAAGGTTCGCAGCCCGATTCGTAACCACTACGCTACCAGAGCTCCTTAACTGTAACGGATTTTAATTCCCTTTTCTGATTTCCTAAATTTTATTTTTAACTCCTTACATATTCACAGAAGCAGAAATAAAGGCCTCATAGTGTTTTTGGCCAGCAGAGGGTAGAGTTTAAACAATTTCTACAAATAAGGGATACACCAACAGACCTAATGTGAATTGGCAAATAGTGTAAATAGTTTTGCTTTGTACTCTTGCTTTTTGGCTAGGAAATCCCCAAACCTCTGTAATATTTGTTTATTTTAGCATTAATTAAATATTAAATGTACATATGTATTATTGTTGTTACGTGCCTTGAGTCAGTTCTGATTCATAGCAATCCTATATAGAGTTTGCAAGGAGCATCTGATGGATTTGACCTGCTGATCTTTTGGTTCTCAGTCCAGTGCTGATCTTCCAGCGCCATACTAGGAGTCCACATATGTATTAGAATCTTGTTAAAATTTATATCTGATGCAAAATGAAATTCCTTTTTGGACTTCACCTCAGGTACTGGTGTTATTAGACCAACCTCTTTATCAAAAAATAGTTGTATATCATGATGAAAGCTTAAAAATCAGTTTGGTTACATTGTGGGTATTTTTTGCTTTTATTTTAGCTGTACAAAAGATTTAAAATACCAGGTTCACCACCAGCATCAATGGGGAGAGGAAGAGACTGGAATGTTGACTTAATTCCCAAGTTCCTTATGGCTAATGGTAAAGCATTCTAACTTAAATATATTTATGTTAGAAACTAACTCTTGAGTATTATCCCTAGGTATGTGGGTATATATACATAAATTATGCTGGATGGCAGTAGTATGGTGAGTAATATGATCAGTTGCAGATGTCTTATGGTAGTAGGGTTTTTAGTGATTGAATTTTTTTGTAGATAGAAAGACGCCTGTTGGTGGATTCAAACACCCAGTCTTTTGTTACAGTAGACAATAGGAATGCAGAGAAGGTATGACTTATTAGTAACTGGTTCTTGAGAAATAAAACTATGATATGGCACAATATGTACCAAAATTGCAAGCTTTTATAATATTCTATCCTTGTCTGTATGCTTTCTTTCTTTCTCTTTTTTTTTTTTTTAATGTTTTATTGTGAATTATGTGATAGCTTACATGGGAGAACATTGGTTTTATATTCATTCTATCGTATATCGTATCATTGCCATGGTTACAATCCCCTCCATGCAGTCCTTCCCCCGTGCCCCCCAGGTCTTCAGCACACAGTCGCTCTCTCTCTCTGGATCTAAAGTCTCCAGCTGCTCCATCGCTCCACGTCATCATCTCTGCCTCCATTTCAGGCATCACTGCTTCTCTGGGTAGGGTCCTGCTCTCTGCTCTTCTCCCCTGATGGTCCTAGGGACCGTCTGTATGCTTTCTTGACAATCTTGGATATCTGGACTTTAGGGTTTGATAAATGAGTTTTAAAAAATAGTATTTTCAAATTATTTTTTTGCTGTTTTTAACAAGTTGTTGTTAAGTACCATGGAGTCGGTTCCAACTCATAGTGAACCATACACAGGGTTTCCGAGGTTGTAAATCTTTACGGGAGCAGAACACCTCATCTTTTTCCCGCAGAACTGCTGGTAGTTTCGAACTGCTGATCTTCAGGTTAGCAGCCCTATTCGTAACCACTATGCAAGAGGAACTGTTTTTTAAATTGCTGTGATATTAGTACCCACTTATGAAATGATATTGTAAATCTACATTGTTGGTTGTAAATCTATTTGTGTCACATGAAATAGTGAACCAACTTTTCCCTTTTTGAGTTTATATTGTATAGTTTGTTTTAATTAAAGGAAATGTCTTTTTCTCAGAAATTAAAGTTAATGAAATTTTTGAGGTATTATAAAAGAGTTTAAGTAATGTAACAATTTATTAAAATGAGAAAACGTAACGTAGAAAAGAGAGGAAATGAAATTTACATAATCAAATCTCTTCACCTAGATTTTATCATTGTTAACATTTTGGTGTATAACCTGCCAGGCTATATCACTTTTTATTTTATACTCAATTGACATACTTTGGTCTTTTAGCATATATTTTGTGAACAGTTGAGGGAAAGTGTATATGTTTGTATATGTTGGAGGTAAAGGCAGTATGGTTTTTTGTTTTTTAAGGCTTTTGCTTTATTTTGCCAAATTTTACTTTAACCCAGAGACTGTGACACTACCCTTACCCAATATCTTTACTAACTCTGGTTGTTATTCTTTTTAATTTTTGTTACTGAAAGATAAAATACTTTTATCTTTTATATATCTCTACTTACTAGAGGATGAAATGATTTCCAGATGTTATTGGCTTATAGGTTTCCTGAATTGGCCATTTTTTTTTTTTTTTTTAATGTTTTACTGTGAATTATGTGATAGTTTACATGGGAGAACATTAGTTTTACAGTCCCCTCCATGCATCATCAACCAACCAAAGGGTATATCCTACAAGCCTGGTTGTCAGCACACAGCCCCTCTCCCTCTCTGGGTCTACAGTTCCCAGCTGCTCCATCTCTCCATGTCATTGTCTCTGCCTCCATCTCAGGCATCACTGCTTCTCTGGGTAGGGTCCCGCTCTCTGCTCTTCTCCCTTCATGGCCCCAGGGACCTTGAATTGGCCATTGTTGTTGGACATTTTTATGCTGTTGTTTTGGTATTCTTTTATATTTATTGAAAGAGCTTTTGTAGAATTTTAGGATATAAACCCTTTTTACATCTGTTGAAAATATCTTTTTTCAAGTTTGATTGGCCTTCTAATGCTATTGTATTTTGGTCCATACAAAAGTTTTTTGCTCTCATGTGGCCACAATGGTCGATCATTTTTTCCTTTAAATTTTTTATTGTGAATTGAGGGAAGATTTATAGACAAGTTGATCAGTTTACTTTAAGCACATTATACACTTTTATTCATCTCATTGATTGCAGGTCCCATCCATGTAACTGCCGTTTTTCCACTTCTTCCCTGTGGTTCTTATTTCCATTCTATCCTCCCTTCCCATCCCTTCTCATCTTTGTCCTTAGGTAAATGTTGCCCTTTTGATCTTGAATGGTTGAACATTCCATAGTGAGCTGTTCCCGCTATATACCTGTCTACTGCTTGGCTGAAAATTGTGCCATGAGGGTGAGTTCCATACCAGACCTGAAGGATGGTCCAGAGTCATTGTCTTGGGTTCCTCCAGTCTCTTTCTGACCAGTAAACCCCGTTTTTTTTTTTTTTTTTTTTTATAGTTTTGAATTTTGTTCCACATTTTCTCCCACTCTATTAGGGCCTCTAATGTGATCCCTTTCAGAACAATTGGTAGTGGTAACTGGGCACTACTTAGTTTTTCTGGTCTTAGAGTCATGGAGGTTGATGTTCCCATGTTCTGTTGGTCCATTGGACTAGTTGATTCCAAGCATCTTCAATTTCCATCACTTTTCTTTCCTGCTGCACGTGGAGACACCAGTAATTGCAACTTAGATGATCACTCATGAACTTTTAAGATCCTAGTGACTACTCACCAAAGTAGGATATAGAATACTGTCTCTGTGGACTATGTTATGCCAATTCACCATGGTGTCCCCCTGAGACCATGTTTCTGATCCCCAGGCCCAACAACTCATGCCTTAAGATGTTTGATAATATTTAAGAATTTTTCTTCATTTTCCTTCTATTGTTTTTGATTTGGAGAAATTTTCTCCCTACCTCAAGGTTATAAAAATACTAATACTCACTTCTGATAGATTTTTTTGTTTTTATTTTTTAAATTTAAGGTTTTTATTGTGGATTGAGTGAAAGTATACAGGGCACATCATCAGTTTCACATTCAACAATTCATATAACTTGTTTCATTACATTGATTATAATCCCCTCCATATACCATCAGTTAAAAGTATTTCTCTCTATCCACTTTAGCTTTTTTAAAAAACACACAAACAAAAAAACCCACTCAGGCATATATAATAAATTACATCTCCAAAGAGCACATTCTGCAGGTCTGCTCCTGGCCACCAGTTCTTAGTCCTCAGCCACTCCCCCTCTCTATGCCCCCATCTCTGCCTGCATCTCTGGTGCTGCTGCTTCTCTGGATAAGGTCCCACATTCTATTTGTGCTTTCCTCTCTTGATGGTCCTAGTTTCCTCTGTTTCTGGACTGTAATATTAGCCACTCCCCTTTTTTTGTTACAAAACTTCTACCTTTACAATTGAGACAGTTGCGATTAGTCACGATAACAGTTATTCACTATTGAATCTTACGAATCTTATCCCCATCTCCTTTCACCAGACCCATCTAGACAAGATGATAATATTCAGTGGGGACTCTTTCTTTCTCCCCACACTCTTAACTAAGCTCCCTCTTGAAACCTTGTAAGCCAGTCACTTTGTGCCTTTATTGCCCCCTCATTTTAGGTAGCCAATGTCTAAGTTGCCCATCCCTGTCACTTCTGATAGTTTTATAACTTAATTTTTTCTGTCATAAACCTAAACTTAGCAATTTTGCTATATAAATAAATCTATTCTTCTGTTGATTGGAACCGAAGAATAAATAAAATGAAGCTCTCCATATTATTTCTTATTCTAAAAAAGTTTAAATTTCTTGGATCATCTTAGTTTAGTATTTATTGTTTCAAATCTTTAATTTTATTGGATTTTTTATTGACTGCTTTAATGTTTTTGTGTTCTTATATTTATTTTTGTTGAGACTATAAACAGCAAAACATACACCGATTCCACAGCTTCTTCATGTACAGTTTAGTGATACTGATTCTATTCTTTGAGTTGTACAAGTACATTTAACCCTCATTTTCTGAGTTGTTACTCGCTAATTAATGTAATGTAAACTCACTGTCCCCTAAGGTTCCTATTTTTTCTTTCTAGTTGCTATTGTCAGTTTAATACGATATAGATACTTTACCAAATATCTTAGGCTGAGTTTTCAAGTGAAGCAAAACCATTGAAACTTCTGTATGTATATATATGGTGGTGGTGGTTATTGGAGTTGGTTCTGACTCATAGGGACCCTGTACAGGGTGATGAAGGCTTTAAATCTTTACGGGAGCAGAAAGCCTCATCTTTCTCCCACGGAACAGCTGGTAGTTACGAAATGCTGACCCTGAGATTAGCAGCCCGATTGGTAGCCACTATGCTACCAGAGCTCCTTATGTATATATATAGAGAGAAGTTTCTATCAAGGAAATGGCTCACAGTTGTAGAGGTGGAGGAATCCCAAATATAAGTCAGATGAACCAAGATGGGCAAGCCAGCCAGTCCAGCAGGTAGTCAGCCAGCCAGCCGGGTAGATAATAAAGCAGGCTACTGGCTCAAGTCCAAAGAAATGCAGGTTGGAGAATGAGCCAGATGCAAGATCCAGACCCAGCAAAAGAGCAAGCAAGCTTTGCCTGCGTGTTCATTATATTGGAAGCTGGCAGCACTGCCACGGAAACATCCTTTTAGTTGATTGGCTGCTCATAGCCAATCATCTTAGAGTTAACTACACTGTATTAGATCTCACCGTGGGAATAACCACATCTCAACTGACCCTGTATAGTGTTTACGAGGAGCAGCTGGTGAATTTGAACTGCCAGGGTTGTGGAGACTGATGTTCCATTACTCTGTCAAAGTAATTGATTCCAAGCATCTTCAATTCTCATTTCATTCTTTCTGCACATGGAGAGACCAATAGCTGTACCTTCGATGGCTAGTCATGAGCTTTTAAGATCTTAGATGCTACTCACTAAAGTCGGATGTAAAACATTGTTTTTGTCAACTATGCTATGCCAGTTGACCATGGCATCCCCTGAGACTATGGTCTTGAGCCCCCAAGCCCAGCAACTCCTTGCCTTGAGAGGTTTGATAATATCTAAGAAGTTATTTTACCTGCTGTATGTTCTACCACATGCATAGCTTTGTTTGCAGGAGAGGTAAATATCCATGTACAGATAACCTTTTTTAAATGCTTATCTATTTGTGCGAATGCTCCCACTCTTCCTCCCTTATCCACTCAGCCCGTGTTCTGGTGTGGAGGTGTAGGATAATGCTTTCTTTTAATAAGAAAACCTTTTCTTGAGTTTTTATAATAGTGGTAACAAACAATATTTATTTGCCCTTTTGTGATTGACCAATCTTACTTAACAGAATGTCATTCAGCTTCATCCAAGTTAGGCATTTCACAGATTCATTATGTGTATGTATCAAAATTTGTTTATTCACTCTTCCATTGATGGGCATTTAGGCTGTGTCCATCTTTTTGGCATTTTGAATAGTGCTGCGATGATCATCAATGTGCATATATCTATTCATGTCTTGGCTCTTATTTCTTGTTGATATATACCAAGTAGAAGGCTTGCTGGGTCTTATGGTATTTCTTTTTCCAACTTTCTGAGAAAGTGCCACACTGTTTTCCACAGTGGTTGCACCATTTTATAGTCCCCCAGCAATGTAGGAGGGTCCCAGTCTCTCCGCACCCTTGCCAGCATTTGTTGTTTTGAACTTTACTATTAATGCTGATATGAGATGCTATCACATTGTTCTTTTGATTTGTATCTCTCTAATGACTACTGATCGTGAACATTTCTTCATATGTTTGTTGGCTGCGTGGGTGTTTTCCTTGATAAAAGTGTCTGTTTATGTCCTGTGCCCAATTTTTAATAAGGTTGTTTTTCTTTTTCCTTGTAGAAGTGTTCTAGTTTTCTCTTTTTTTTAAGTTTTGGAGATTAGTCCCTTGTCTGATACGTCATTGCAAAAAAATTTTTTTCTACTCTTTTGGTGAAATCTTGTGATGCACATAAGTGTCTAATTTTTAGGAGGTCCCAATCATCTATTTCGTCTTCTAATGTTTGTGTGTTTTTAGTTGTGTTTGATAAAATATTTATTCCATGCATTAGAGTCCCTGAGTTTGTTATTATTTTTGAATGATGATCTTTATAGTTCTAGGTTTTACATTTAGATCTTTCATCCACATTGAGTTTGTTTTTGTATATGGTGTGAGATGTGGGTCTTGTTTCATTCTTCTGCAAATAGTTTTCTGGTTTTCTCATTACCTTTCGTTGAAGAGACTATCTCTTCTCCACTTAAGGTGTTTTGGCCCTTTGTCAAAGATCAACTGATTATATGTGGATAGATTTACTTCTGGGTTCTCAAATTCTGACCCAATGTATGTTTCATTGTACCAGTACCCAGCTGTTTTGTCCACTGTGATTATGCAGTACATTTTGAGATCAGGGAGTGAGCAGCCGCCAACTTTTTCTTGTTAAGCATTACTTTTCTTAGCTAAGGTCTCTTTCTTTTCCGTATAAAGTTAGTGATCATTTTTTTCTATTAAAGAATAATTTAGAATCTGGATTGGGATTGCATTATATCTATAGGTTGCTATGGCTAGTGTTGACATTTCCACCTTGTTAAGTCGTTCTATCTATGAGCATGGTATATTGCATTTTTTTGTAAGCTTCTATTAGTTTCTTGTAGTAGTGTTTTATGGTTTTCCTTGTGTAGGTCTTTTGTTTCTCTGATTAGATTGATTTCTAAGTATTTCTTCTTTAGGTGGCTATTGTAAATGGTATTTTCCTAATTTCCCTTTCAGAGCTGCATTTATTAGTGTAGATGAATCCAGCTGACTTTTGTATATTGATTTTGTGCCCTATTGAGACATTTTTCACTAGACAAGCTGAACTATTTTAAGACTATTTCCGAGGATGTTTTTGTTTTAAGGTATAAAGATTATCTCAGGGCAGTAACTTTCCATGGATTTGTGTTCACCCTCCATGACTATAGAAAGTTTAGAGTGTATGAGAATTTGAAATTCTATTTTGCTTTTTACCCCTTTTGTTTAGGATTTTTCTGTAGAATCTTTGATCAAAATGTTAAATAATGGTGGTTGGGTTCCATATAGTTCTTCTGACTTCATGGCAAAGAAGGCAGTTGTTCATGTAGTCAATTAGCTACACAGTCCATATTCTCCTGCTGTTTATTCCCAACTCTCCTTCCACTGGTGCTCCAGGTGAATAGAAACCAATTGTTGTGACTAAATTTCTTTGTTTCTCAAGCAAATTTTAGCATCCAAAACTTCTTTGGCTTATGGGCAGGTAATATTTCTAAATTGTAAGCTTACATTTTCCTTTATCTGAAATCAATGCTGGCTTTAATAAATATAGGTTGACTTGAAAGTGAGAACCAAAGATTCCTAAAAAGTTTTGCTTACAATATGCCACTCTTTAAAGTGTAACAACAGTATATAAAGAAACTCAAACCCATTTAATAATACTACAGTTCTACTACTCTACTACTCTTGTCTCTAGTAAATGCAGGGCTTCAGATTGGTTCAGAATAGTTTTGTCATGACTGAGAAAAACAAGGGCAGCATAGGCATCGAATAGCTACCAAATCTCTTGCACTTCAGATTTTGATCTGAGTATGTAACAGGCAGTAGTAGCCTGCTCAGACAGAAATGGTGGTAGACTTCCCTGCTCTGAATGTGTCAGCTGCCATCTTTGATCAGGGCACCACTGTGTGTTTTCATGGGCTAGGGCTACCCTTATTTCTTTGAACCACTACAGAACCGCTTTGAAGTCTTGAATATGTAGTTCTTAGATTTTATGAGGGCTTACTGGTGTTAACCTTGAAGTTGTAACATTAAAACTCTTTTATGACTGAATTTTTTTTTTTTTTCGCTTTGAATTTTTTTGTTGATGCCATATGCTTTCAGTAATGGAAAGCATGCTTAAATTAAGGGGCAAGAATATATTTTTGAGGAAGTAAGGGTTTTAATGTGGAATGCATTTGTTCCAAGTAGACTCTAGTGGGTAGTGGGTGGGGTGAGTATGGTCCCATTTCTTCAGATTCATGCAGTTGTTCAGGTCTCCGCCAGGTGGCAGCACATACCGCAACTTGGATAGAAGCATCCTAAGAAACCTAAGAAGCTGAAACTATAGATGGGCAGTGTTGTCACACAGGTTTTAAAAGTGTTTAAAAAAGAAACCAAAACCCTTAATATGTTAAGTGATAGATATACATTCTGGTTTTCTGCTTAAGATTATGACTTTGAAGATATTTATTTTTTTTTAGGAATTATTAAAAAATGTTAAGAAAAATTGGGAAGCCATATTATTAAATGTACCTTTACTCCTGCTAATTTTAAAGCTAGTACACATAATAAGTTTGAATTATATGATTCTTACAGGTCAGCTGGTTAAGATGCTGCTTTATACAGAGGTTACCCGCTACTTGGATTTCAAAGTAACTGAAGGGAGCTTTGTATATAAGGGAGGAAAAATCTACAAGGTTCCTTCCACTGAAGCAGAAGCCCTGGCATCTAGTAAGTAATTTTTTTGTTTTCTTAGAATAAGATTTCGTAATGGAATCTTAAACGTTCAGTACCCTCTTGGCTGTCTACTCATCCATTCACCCATTCAGTCAGCGTGTATTTACCAAATGTCCATTATGTGTCAATCTATTTTAGGCAGTGGATATATTTGTGAATGAAAAAAAAATTTTTTTTTTAAACCCTACCCTTGTGAAGCTTAGAGAGAGATTAAATGATTATCTAGTTAACCTTTCCTGTTGCTAGGCTCTGTGATAAATACTTTCATTTTCTTATTTAACTTCCAGAACAACTTAGAGCAATGCTACTAGGGCTTGAACTCACATAGGTGCTGTTTATTGGGATTGGAGTTGAAGCCCTGGTAGCATTGCTCTAAGGAATCCTGGTGGCGCTGTGGATTAGGCAATGTGCTGCTAACTACAGGGTTGGCAGTTCAATCCCACCAGCTATTCCATGGGAGAAAGATGAAACTGTCTGCTTCTGTAAAGATTTACCCTCTCAGAAACCCTATAGAGAGTCGCTGTAAGTTGGAATTAACTTGATATTTGCGAGTTTATTGTAGGGTTTCACATTGCTCCTGAGCTTCTGTGCTTGACCATTTTACTAAGCTGACCTCCTATGGTTTTTATTTAACCCATCAGAAAAACAAAGAACTCTATTCTGGTGACAACCATCTTCTTGTGGGTGCTGTTGTCATTCCTTAACATCTCTATTTTTAGGAATTCCTACTAAATATGATGTCATTTTATTCTCTGCCTAAAATTATTTGCTCTTCTCATTGAAGATTGCTGATTAACCATAACCTCTGATATCTTTAAAATAGCAAGTACCCATAGGAAAAATCTTCTGTCCTTCAAGGTGCTGTAGTCATCGTTAAGGCCCATGTGAAGCAGAATAACTTCGTAAAACTAAACTTTGTATAGAGGGATTTTACACATAGTAAGGGCTCTTAGTGTGGCGCTGTGGGTTAAGGTGCTGAACTGCAAAGTCAGTTTGAACCACAGGTCTGCAGTTCAAGCTTACCAGTTGCTCCTTGAAAATCCTATACAGGGTCTCTATGGTTGGAACTGACTCGACGGCACTTAACAACACCGGGTGCTCTAGGAGGAGGAAACAGTTTAGATTGGGAAAATCGAAAAACTGCCTTTAAATTCTCTAGTGATTACTTTGACGTGTTATGAAGGTTTTCTTGCAAGCCTAATTTGAATTATTTTAGCAGTTTTTCTGACTTCGTTTGTTATTCTGGAAGGAAATATTGGGCAAAATATGTTAAAAGGCTATTCAGAAAATAAATACCACTAAGAATTACGGCTGGAAGCAGAGTATCAGAAAGATGTTTACCTGTGCTTTATTGACTACTCAAAGGCTTTTAATTGTGTGGATCATGACAAGCTATGGGCAACATTGTGAAGTATGAGTATTCCAGAACACTTAATTGTGCTCGTGAGGAATCTGTACATGGACCAAGAAGCAGTTGTTCGAACAGAACATGGGAACACTGAATCATTTAAAATTAAAGAAGGTGCGCAACAGGCTGTATTCTTTCACCATACTTATTCAACCTGTATGTTGAGCAAATAATCTGAGAAACCTGGGTTATATGAAAAAAAATGTGGCATCAGGATTAGAGGAAGAGGACTTAAAACATTTACTGATGAAGATCAAAGAGCACAGCCTTTGGTATGGATTACATCTCAATGTAAAGAAAACAAAAATCTTCACCACTGGACCAATAAACAACATTCTTATCAATGGAGAAAAGATTGAAGTTGTCAAGGACTTCATGCTTCTTGGATCAACTATCAACACTCATGGAAGCAGCAGTCATGAAATCAAACGACGTATTGCATTAGGCAAATCTGCTGCACAAGACCTTTTTAAAGTGTTGAAGAGTAAAGATGTCAGCTTGAGGACTAAGGTGCGCCTGACCCAACCCATGGTATTTTCAATAACTTCATATGCATGTGAAAGCTGGACAGTGACTAAGGAAGACTGTAGAAGAATTGGTGCTTTTGAGTTATGGTGTTGGAGGAGAATAATGAAAGTGCCATGGGCTGCCAAAAGAACCAATAGATCCGTTTTGGAAGAAGTGTAGCTAGAATGCTCCTTGGAGTCCAGGATGGCCAAACTTCATCTTTCATACTTAAGACATATTGTCAGGAGGGACCAGTCGCTAGAGAAGGATAGGGATATCATGTTTGATAAGGTGGAGAGTCAGAGAAAAAGAGGAAGACCCCCAGCGAGATGGATTGGCCAAGTGGCAGCATCGATGGACTTGAGCGCGGCAGCAGTAGTGAGGTGGGCCTAGGATTGGGCCATGTTTTGTTCTACTGTGCATAAGGTAGCTATGGGTCAGTACCGACTCCATGGCACCTAACAACAACAACAACAAGAATTATAGCTTGATTAGGAATGACAGCTAGGGAAGAAAAAGAATGGTTTCAGAATAAATTAGTCATGCAATCATGGATTGGAGATTTAAAAAAAATATATAAATATAAGCAAATAGGTTTATACACACATATATATTAGTTTATATATATATATTACATATATATGCGTGTATGTATATACACATACAGAAGTCCTGGTGTGACGCTGTAGAATAAGCACTTAACTGCAAGGTTGGCTGTTCAAACTCAATAGCCACTCCTCAGAATCCCTATACAGGGTCACTTTGAGTCTGAACCAACTCTGGCTCTAACAAAAACAATTTATGTATACACTTAACATATGCATATATATGTTAAGTGTCATCACATTGGTTCTGACTCATAACAGCCTTGCATAGGGTTTTCGAGGAGCAACTGGTGAATTCGAACTGCCAGCTTTGTGGTTCAAACCAATATTGTGGTCTAGTGCTTTATCCCACAGCACCATACCCCTCCTCTCCTCTCCCCCTTCTCTCTCTATACGTGTATATGTGTATCTATATGTATATTTGTGTGTGTTTGTGTACACACACACAAACTTCTGGTGTGGTGCTGTAGTATAAGTGCAAGACTGCAAGGTCAGTTTGAACCACAAGGTTGGCAGTTCAAACTCACCAGGTGTTGCGTGTTGTTGAGTCGGTTCTAACTCTTAGCGACCCTGTGTAAGATGTCCGATGAGTAGCTGGTGGTTTTGAACTGCCAGCCTTGTGGTTCACAGTCCAGTACTTATCCTACATAAATTTATATATAGAAAAATTCACCCTTATTTAGTATACAATTTTGTGAATTTTGGTCAAATGACTGCCTTACAAGCAACTTGATCTTTTTTTTTTAATTGTAGGATTTTAAAGTAGACAAGAAAATTCTAGGCATAATGAAGGAATGAGACAAGGAAAAAAGTATAAAGGTGGAGAGGCTGAAGAGAAGAATGGATAAAAGCATATGAGGGGGCTCCAGAAATCTCATGAAAAATTCAAATATCTTGTAATACAATTTTTCCATGAACTTTTTTGAAGTCCCCTTATGTATGTACTGGAGTCCTAGTGTGGCGCTGTGAGCTAATGCACCAGACTGCAAAGCCGTTTGAACTACAAGCTCAGTGGTTCAAGCTCACCAGTCACTCTTTGGAAACCGTATGCAGGGTCGCTATGGGTCGGAACCGACTTTCTAGCACTTAACTACTACCACTACTATGTATGTACTACTAAGTTCTTTATGTGTATTATCTTATTTTGTGTACATTTCACTGTAGCCCAGTGAAATGGATGCTAATGTTTTCATTTTAGATATGGGGAAATTTAGTTATATGAAGAACTTCAAAAAGCTTGTGGAAAAATAGAATTACAGGATAATGGAATTTTTTCACAAAGTGGAATGCTCCCTCATGTTGTACACCATATCTTAGTAGTGTTGTTAGGACAATAGTTATCCTCTTAATTTTTTTTTCCCCTATAATCTGTGGTCAGATGTTACGTCTGGTAAGTAGTGGAAAAGCTTTTATCTGGTCTGGAGTCCATATCTTTTCAGGTTTAAAAAATCTTGACATAAGTTGTATTTTTTTATAAGTAAGTGTATAATGGAGAACGTAAAACAGCATTCGAAATGCAATTAAGACACTACAAGGAGTCTTCAAAAAGTTCGTGTAAAATGCATATTGTGAAAAAAGGTTTGCATGGATTGCATTCTCTTTTGTACTAAAATAGTTGTATTAGTTTGGTACAGCATGTCTGAACAGAAGGTAATTGAGGCATTACGGAGAAGACATCAGTTTGGAAAGAGCGCCTATGAGAACAACATGAAATCTGCTAATATTACAGCAAAAACAACTATAAGCTTGGTGGAAGAATGGTTAAATCATTGATGCTTCACAAAAAGTTTATGGGAGCCCTATCCTCAAAACATAATAATAATCAACAATTTACAAATGGATAATTTGTTTTAGGAGGGATAAGACTGTGTTGGATGGTGAAGATGAAGCCCGCAGTGGTAGACCATCCTCATCAGTTTGTTAGTACATAAATATTGGTGCCCTAATTGAAAAAGACTAATGATTAACAGCATCAATAATAGTCAACACTGTACATATCTCCACTGGTTCAGTGTACAGTTTTGATTGAAAAACTAAACTTTCTGCTCAATGGGTGCCAAAATTGTTGTGCCTGGATCAGCTGCAGACAAGAACAGGGCTTTCAATGGAAAATGTAAACAAATGAGATCAAAATTCTAAAGCATTTCTTGGAAGAATTGTAATAGGAGATGAAGCATGGCTTTACCAGTACAACTCTGAAGACAAAGCACAATCATAGCATTGGCTGCCAAAAGGTGGAAGTAGCTTAATCAGGAACAAAGGTCATGACAACAGTTTTTGGGATAGTCAAGGCATTTTTTGTATTGACTTTCTGAAGGGACAAAGAATGGTTATACCTGCTTATTAGGAGAGTACTTTGAGAAAGTTAGCCAAAGCTTTAGCAGAAAAGTACCCAGGAAAGCTTCACCACAGAGTTCTTCTACACCATGACAATCTTCCTGCTCATTCCTCTCATCAAACTAGGGCAATTTTGTGACAGCTTCAGTGGGGAAATTGGCATCCACCTTACAGGTGTGCTCTAGCTCCTCTGACTTCTTTTTGTTTCCTAGTCTTAAAAAATCTTCAAAGTGCATCCATTTTTTTTTTTCCCATTCTTTAGGGGTGGACTAAATGGCTGATATCATTGCTTACAAAAGTGTCTTGACCTTGATGGAACTTATGTTGAGAAATAAAGTTTATGTTTTATTTTTATCTTTTAATTGTATTTTTCTACAAACTTTTTGAAGTCTCTTTGGGTACCTAATCCTGAAACAGATTTTTAAAGCTTTTTATCACATATGTTAATATTCATTACATACTGTGCATATCCAGTATGTAAATAAGTCATCTTTAATATTCACGGCCATTATGTAGTAATTTATGAAATAAATACGTACTGAGCACTGGCTATGTACCAGATACCCTTTTAGGTTTGGGGCTGGGAATTATTTCACAGAAAGAGAAAAGAAAAATTTTAAATCCCTTATGGGGTTTATATTAGTGTGAGACCAACAATAAATCAATGAGGAAAATATGTTGAGTGTTGATAAATAATATGGAGAAAGAAAAAATGGGAAATGGGTCAGGTATACAAAGTTTTAATATGATCAGAGAATATGCAGTAGGAAACATTACTATTTGAACCTGTCAGTTATGAAATTTTCAGAATGAGAAATGTATCTTTAAAAATGTTTTTACAGTGGTGTTATCTGGCTCTGATAGCATATTAGCTAGTAATTGAGAGCAGTAGCTTGGTGCCAGGCTTAACAACATAAAAATCAGGGATGGAGAAGCAACTAGAGCTTCCTTACTGTGCTTAGAACAGAAGTAAGATTGGTACCTGTAACTAACTGACTTCAGGATCAAGTAAAGGAGGAAGAGAAAAGAGAAAAGGAAATTTAAGGAAATGCAACAAATAGATTTTCATTAACTTTTTGTTGTGAAAGGTTTATAAAGTTGAACATCAGTTTTACTAGATGTTTATTTTGGTTAATTAAATAGTTATGATACTCTAGAATATCTTTATATCTCAAAAGCACTGTCTACGAGAGTGTGATATCTAAGTTATATTTGCATTTAAAACAGTTTCTTGTTTCCCTTTAACTGTTTAATTCCTACGCTGGACAACTTAAAACTTGTGTCCTAAGTATAGTGTTGATTTGGTACTGGAATACGGATGGCCCCCCTGGGTTACCACTGACATATTGGACAAATGGATAATGTACTCGCCCATTAATGTTATGTAAATTTATCATCATATTTGAAATGATGGGGAACCATCCTCTCTACTCAACCCGTACTCCCAAAGAATTCTTTATCACGGTCACCTCCATTTGCTGCACATGAAGCTTTAAAATCATTGAGTAAGGCTACGTAAGAACCATGGGTACCTGTTGCATCTTATCTACAAGATTGACTTGAGACACAGCAATGGATCCCTTTTGTAGCCTGTATTTCTTTAAAATTATAAAACAATCTTTGGGGAAGTGTTTGAAAGTTTTTTTATTTTTAAAGCTATGGTTGTTTTTAAAGTAGTTGTTCATTTTAGGAAATGGGAAGAAAGGAGTAAAAACAAAACTCATTTTCCCTTGGCCACTTTTTACCAGCTCTATGCTCCTGGTTTGGCACTACAGGATCAGCCTTCTACTGCAGATTACAAGGTTGGCAGTTCAAACCTGCCAGTTGCTCCTCAGAACCCCTACACAGGGTTGCTGAGTTGGAACCAACTTGATGGCACTTAACAACAACAATGCTACTAATATGAATGCTGACTAATAGAATGGAGAATTTATATAGTGTTTTTTTATAATTATCTCCCTGTTTGTTTTTTAATAGATACTTTAAAAAGTAATGAATTGATTATGTGGGACTTCATTAAAGTAAGTTACTAGTAGCATAATCAACATCTAAATTCAGTGAGGTCAGTTTGTTCTTAGAATCCAAACTTCTTTTCTATTAAATGCTAGAGTGTTTCTTAGCATATTGAAAAGGAAATGGGATAAGTGTAGGTAATTGGCTGAGTATAGGTCAGAGTTGTCAAGGGAAGAACATATAGATGGATGCCTTGATGGATAATATTATTTTAGTTGTTATTTACCTTGTACTTAACAAAAGATATAATTAGACTTAATATTATTGTTGTTGTTAAGTGCTGTCCAGTCAGATCTGACTTATAGCGACCCAGTACAGGGTTTCTGAGGAGCGGCTGGTGAGTTTGAACTGCCCATCTTGCAGTTCAAACCAACCTTGTGATCCAATGCTTAGCCTACAGACTTAATATTACATTTAATTAAATACTGATTGTAATTACTTGAATCAGAACTGACTTGATGGTACTTAACAGCAATAATTACTTGTAATTGTATTTTTTAATTGAAGGCTTTATAACTGTCCTGTTGTAATTATGTCAGCTTGTTTTAAAAAGTGTGGTGAAACTGAAAGTACATGTTATCCAAGTTCCATTATCTTATTTTTCACAAGGAATTAGAAGAACCCAAGTTAATAACATTGCTATTAGATACCATCGAGTCATTTTCTATTCATCGTGACGCAACACTGCCTGGTCCTGTGCCATCCTCACGTGACCCATTGAGAATTCCCTCTCTTTAATAGGAGTCCTGGTGTGGCACTGTGGGTTAATGTGCTGGACTACAAAGTCAGTTTGAACTGCACTGCTGGCGGTTCAAGCTTACCAGCTGCTCCTTGAAAACTACACAGGGTCGCTATGAGTCGGAACTGACTCGACGGCACTTAACAACATATTCCCTTTTACACAGTATCCTTTTGTGAGTGTTTGCTTTAAAAAAAAATCTTTTTCAGGCTTAATGGGACTGTTTGAAAAACGTCGCTTCAGAAAATTCCTAGTGTATGTTGCCAACTTCGATGAAAAAGATTCTAGAACTTTTGAGGGCATTGATCCCAAGAAGACTACAATGCGAGATGTGTATAAGAAATTCGACTTGGGCCAAGATGTTATAGACTTTACTGGTCATGCCCTTGCACTTTACAGAACTGATGAGTAAGTTTTTTGGTCTTTAGATTTTTATTTTCTTGGGACACTTTCACTGAATTTCCCAACTATTTAACTGGATTTGTATCACTTCAGAAAAAAAAAAAGAAGTTAAAATGAAAACCCAGATTTTTTTCTAATATTCATTTACTTTTCTCCAGTTATTTAGAACAACCATGTTGTGAAACCATTAATAGGATTAAACTTTACAGCGAGTCTTTGGCAAGATATGGCAAAAGCCCATATCTTTATCCACTTTATGGCCTTGGAGAGCTGCCACAAGGGTTTGCAAGGTAAGAGCCCATAATTAACTTGTTAGCTAAAACTTTACTGATACTAAACCTCATCTTCAACATAAATGAATGAGATAGAGTTGTGCATAATGAGATGACATGGCTGTGAGTGATGAGATGTCATATTCTTTTTTTTTTTAAACTTTTATTTTTAATTGAGTGAAGGTTTACAGGGTTTACATCAGGTTTACATTCAACAAACCATTGCAATGATTACAATCCCCTTCATGCACCTTCAGTTAACAGTATTTACCTCTACTACCTTTTTTTTCCTTGTTGTACACATATCACATTAAAAATATATATTTGTTCAAATGTCCAAAGGGCACATTTTGCAAGGCAGCCTCCTGCCTGCAGATACACTGCCTTTCTATGGACCTGTAGACTTTGCTGCTCTTTCTCTCTATGCCATTGCCTTTGCCACCATCTCTGTTGTTGCCACTTTTCTAATTAGAATCCCTGGCTCTCATGCTCTTCCCTCTTTTTTCATGTGTTATTGTGTATTGTGTGGTAGTCTACATGGGGGAACATTAGTTTTATATTCATTCCATCATACATCGTCTCATTGCCATAGTTACCATCCCGTCCATGCATCATCACCCAATCAAAGGGTACACCCTGCAATCCTGCCCTCCCTCCCCTCATGATCCTCAGCACACAGCCCTTCTCCCTCTCCGGATCCCTAGTCGCCAGCCACTCCTTCTCTTCACGTCATCCTCTCTGTCTCAGTCTCAGGCCTCACTGCTCCTCTAGGTGGGGTCCCGCTCTCCGCTCTTCTCCATTGATGGTCCAGGGCCCTCCGCTCCTAGACTGAAAGGTCAGTCACTCCCCTCCTTGCTATAAAGTGTCCACCTTTACATTTCCAGTCCTAACAATCAGTCCTGGTAACAGTGATTCACCCTTGCTTCCCAAGGGACCCATCTGCATTTCTTTTCATCTGCCTTTCCTAGACAGGTTGGATGCCACTCACTGGACATTCTACCATCCTTCCCACCCTGTGGATCTGGGTTCCCTCTTGAAAGCTTGTAAGCCAGTCACTTCTTGCCTTTGTATCTCTTCTCCCATTTTGGTTAGTCAATGTTCAAGATGGCCATCCCTATCTACTCTTTGTGTGGAGGGGGTGGGAATAATTCTTGGAGGAGGGATTTATTCCCTCTTTTGAACTACTGCATTTATAGGTGGATGTCCAGTTTATCAAATTGTATCAGATGACGCTTTTTTCCTCTTCTATCTTCTTCGGGTTGAGCTCTGTTCGTCCCATCATTGGAGCCATGGCAAGTGGGTATCATCTGCAGGTGTGGGTGTTCCTGCGTCTGTCCGCCTTCTTCTTATCAGTTGGTTGCTTCGGTCTCCACTCTAGTCCTCTGTGGATGTGTCACTGACTCTGAGCTCATGAGTCCCCAGGTCTTGCCTCACTGCTGGCCGACCAGGTCTCTACCCGGGCTCACCATTGTCTGCTGAACGATGCAGGGCTTAGCTCGCTGCTTCTTTGATGTTCATCGGTCACTTCTCTTTATGGGTGATGCGCGTGATTGCCAATCAGAACGCGTTTTCCCCTTGCACCTTAGTCTTGGAGGAGGATTTGCACTGAGAGGACCCAACCACTTGCCTTGGTGTCTCCTGGGCAGACAGCTTGCTTGTTCTTGTGGTAACAGTCAGATTGCCCTTATTGTTTTGTATTTTTCCTGTAGGTCCTTCTTTCAAGAAGTGTCTTCTGGTTTTCTGGCTGCTCCAGGCTGGTCTGCTTGTCCTTTCAAGAGGAAAGTTTCCCTTCTCTGATGGTCTGGATGTGGTTCAGACTTTCTTCTATAAGTCTTATGTAATGCAGAGGCTCCTCATGAGGTCTTCTTCACTAGATACATTGTAGCCCCATTTTAGGTATTCCAATTAGTTATTGGCAGAACATGGACTTACAAGCTTTCTATGGTGATATTTCTGGCTATTCCTTTTCCTCTTCCTCCAGTGACTGTTTTATATTATAATGCTTGGAAAACCAAGGTTCAAAAGTCAGCCAAGTATCTCAACATTATTCCCCCCTTTTCCCCATTCCAACCCTGTCCCAGTCTCTGGATCCCAGAGCCCTGTTGTTCTAAGGCTGTGCCTAAATCCATTTTAACCTCTGTCCCATTTAGCTCATTGATACCTGCCTAATTGCTCTCCCATCTGCCTTGTTCTTCCATTCCCCTCTCCCTACTTGTATATTGCCCCCCTCCCCAATACCCAAATTATCCTGTGTCTATTCCCTGTACTGTGTTCCGCCTTTCCCTCCCACCCTTATTCCTACCCCTTCGTCCTAGCAACCTGCTAGGAATCCACTTTAGTGGATTAGTTTGGGTTCTTTTTCTTAGTCTTTTATAGTAGTGGTCCTATGCAGTATTTTTCCTTTTGTGATTGACTAATTTCACTCAACATAATGTCCTTAAGGTTCATCCATGTTAGGAAGTGGCATGTAGCTTCCTTGTTATTTTTCAAGGTAGCATAGTACTGCATTGTGTGTATGTGCCACAGCTTGTTTATCCATTCTTCAGTTGATGGTCACTTTGGCTGTCTCCATCTTTTTGCTATTGTAAATAGTGCTGCAGTGAACATTGGTGTGCATATATCTTCCCGTGTTGTGGCTCGTTTTAATTCCTCCTAAGCCAAAATTCCCCTTTCCCCTGGTACCACTGATCATCTTTGATTTCTGTATATTTGCTTATTTCAGATAAATAAGGTCATTTAATATATGTCCTTTTGCAACTGACTTCATGCGTGATTCAGGTGCATTCATGTGTGATGCACATGAGGACTTCATTTTGTTCATAGCTGATTAAAAGTCCATTGTGTGCATATTCTACATTATGTTTATCCCTTCATCTGTTGGTGAATATTTTCATTGTTTCTATCTTTGGCCTATTGTGAAAAGTTCTTCAATAAACCTTGATATGTAGGCTTCTGTTTGCCTTCCTGCGTTCACCTCTAAGTACACAAGGGGGCTTCACATGTTCTTGGAAAATGGAATTGAAAGGCAATGGAATTTTTCCACAAACTTTTTAAAAACCCCCTCATATACCTAAAGGAGCTCTGGTAGCGTAGTGGTTACGAATCGGGCTGCTAGCCAGAAGTCAGCAGTTCAAAACTACCAGCTGTTCCGCGGGAGAAAGATGAGGCTTTCTGCTCCCGTAAGGATTTGCAGCCTTGGAAACCCTGTATAGGGTTGCTATGAGTTGGAACTGACTCCACAGCACATAGCACATATACCTAGGATTGATTGGGATTGATGATGGGTCATATTAATTCTATGTTCAGTTTCTTAAGGAACTGCAAAACTTTTCTACAGTGACTACAGCATTTTACATTCCTAGCCAGCAAGGGATGAGAGTTCTAGTTTCCCCACAACCTTACCAAAGCCTTTTTTTTCTTTAATATTGTATCATTGGCTTTGTAATAGCAGTGATGTGGTATTTCATGGTTTTCCTTGGCATGTCTCTAATGGCTAATGATGTTGAGCATCCTTTCATGTGCTTCTTGGCCACTTAAATATCATCTTTGGTGACATGGCTGTTCAAGTACTTTGCCTGTTGTTGTTTTTTAATTAGTTTTGTCTGTTGTTAAATTATAAAAAAAGTGTGTAAATAAAATTTTTTTTGTATATTAGACCCTTATGGATCCCAAAAATTCTTTCCCCAAATTTTTCTTACAATCTGTTCTTTTCACTTTTTTGATAAAAGTCTGTTGATGGACAAACAGTATTATATTTTCTGAAGTGCCGTTTGCCTGTTTTGACTTTTGTTGTGAGATTTGATAATACATAGTTAACAACTGTCCCCTGCAGCCATACTCCCTATATTTTCTACTAAGGTTTCACCTTTAGTTCTTTGATCCATTTAAGATAGACTTTTCTGTTTCTGTTAAGAAGACTGTTGGAGTTTTGGTGGAGATTGCATTGAATATATAGATGGCTTTGGGTAGTATTTATATCTTAGTTATAATAAGCCTTTTAATTATGAGTCCTGTAGGCTAAGCACTGGACTTCTAACCTCAAGATCACCAGTTCAAATTCACTAGCCACTTGTCAGAAACCCTATACAAGGTTGTTATGAGTTGAAACTGACTTGACACTTACTAACAACATTTATGGGTATGGGATGTTCTTGTATTTATTTAGGTCTTTAATTTATTCTAGTACTGCTTTAGTTCTATATAAATCTTTTGCCTTTTTGGTCAGATTTATTCCTAGGTGTATTTATTCTCTTAGATTTTGAATGCTAATGCTTCCTTAATTTCCTTTTCCATTTGTGTACTGACCTTATGCCTTGCCACTAATTTTATTGGAATTAAATTTGCTTGTAATGAAATACATAGATCCTGATTTTTTCTAGATTGATTTTTATAAAAATTTTTATCGTGAATTGGATTAAAGATTACAGAGCAGATCATCAGTTCTACATTCTACAATTCACACACATTTTGTTTTCATCTCATTGATTGTAGTCCCCCGTAGCATCACTTATCCATTCTTCCTCCTTTGCTAACCCTTCTGAACTTTGTACTTGGGTAAATGCTGCCCTCTTGTTCTCAAGAGGTGGATAATTCTAAGGTATATGGACCTCTCTAGTGTTGTTAATTCTCCTGATAGCCATGGGAGTGAGTTCAGGTCCACACTTGAGCTATAGTACTAGATATACCTGGTATTTGTAATGGAAAAAAATGTTTTGATAAACGTGTAGACTCAATGTAAACAGTGCCCTAATCAAGAAACAGAACAGTTTCATTACCTTGCAAGTTCTCTTGTTGCATTTCATAACCAATCCTCTTTCCCCACTTTCCCGAGCAGCTACATTTTATTTTACAGTGATAACTTACCACTACAAATTTCACACCTCTTGAAGTTCATATAAGGAGTACTGCAGTGTGCTCATTTTTTTTTTTCCGTTAGCAATATATTTTTGCTTAGCTATATATTTGAAATTCATCTGTGTAGATTCATAGACTGTTAGTTTGTTCCTTTTTTATTACCA